AAGCTGCTAGACTTCCTACAAAAAGTTGTACTATTGCTTCCATGATAAACTATCTGGTTCTTCAGCTATGTGGTTACAAGTTTTTAGGTCCAGAAGGACCAAGACAACCTTTACAGACAACCCCTACAAAGGCAGTTTCATTTTTCTCTGGTGCCTGTGACTGCCAGGTGCAGCCTGTTGCCAGCCAGGGGTAGAAACCAAGAGCTCTGGAGCACAGAGCTCCTGCACAGTGCTGCAGAGGCCTGTGGACTCTGCTGCCAGTGGGTAATTGTTCCTCTTTGTGTAGAAGTGAATATATTTACACAAATGAGCAGGAAACTGCAGATTATAGCTTCAGAACTTGCTAGTGACCATGTAAATGATGATGAAGGTAAGAGTAAAGCAGGGGGTTTTTTTTGTTGCCTTTCTCATGCTTTTGTTATACTTTAAAAGATTTGGCATGATTGAAACCATGGCTGTTATTGCTAAGTTTGAGCATAGTTCTTACCAGGTTTAATTGTCTGCTTTCTCCCTGGTTTGGCCTAATGCTTCATCCTACATAGGATTTTAGTCACCCAACACAAAGGGAAAAATCAAGCAAGCTGTTCCTTTCAGCAACTAGGTAGGTCACAACATTTTAAAAAGTAATCATAATAAAAATAAAACAAACAAACAAATAAAGAAAAAACACCCTGGGACAATGCTCCCTAAGCAGTCATTATCAACAAGAGCTCCTAATTTCTGTCTAGCTGTTTTATATCAGTGCTGTACTTCATGCCAAACTTGAGAACAATGACATCCAACAGAGCTGGAATCAGTATGGGAAAGCACTAGGTTTTTATCCTGAAGGCCAAACAAGTAGCTGCTTGCAATTCAGCTTTGGCCTAACTATTCCATTACCTCACTTGGTTTTAAAACAGTTCAAGTGAAACTACGTGGGACTGGGAGATCACAGAATACCATTATTACATCCAGGATTTCTTACGGAATCACCTGGATATTTCACATGACAAACAATATAAAGATATTTTCAAAAATATTTACACTTTAAAGTTCGTTTTATCTTCAAGAGCTTTTTGAAAACTCTGAACTGATAGCATTTTAAAAACAGTGCAATGGAGGAAGATAATACTCTACACAGGAACACTGGATCACAAGTTGCTTCTCAGATGAAGAATATCACCTGATCTTTTATTTCCAGTAAATGATACAGGCCCTTGGCTTTCTTTGAAAGCCCTTCCTTGCAGGAAATACATTTATCTCCCCGAGAAGAATAAAAGGAAGAGCTGAATCTTAAATTAACTATATATTTACACATAAGGTTTACTTTCATGGTGCAAAGCCACTGTTCAGGTGTATAATCACTGTCTTCCAAAATTGTCCATGGAGAAAAGCAAGCATGGCTACCACAGAACAGGAAAACTGATTAACTTCCCAAATGGCATACTGCAAAGCTCAGCACCTTTGCTCACATTTTCTCTGGCTTTCTTTCTTTGTATGAATTCAAGAATTGTCCACTGCAATTGATCCTGTAAAACTTCCAAAGTCAGGAATACAGGATCCAGCCATATACCTAAATTCACAAGGCCTGAATCAAGAGCTGCTGAACTGGACATACAGACAAGCCTTACGAACTTTGATGGCCACAGCTCAACTGCCAGTTAATCTTCCTGCTGTCTTTGATAACAAGGGACAACTCCACACATATTTGAACCAAGGTTATTCAGAATGTGTGCTTTGCTGCAGGCTGGATTTGTGGTATTTTACCTCTTAAAGATCAGCACCTTTAGAATACCATGAAAAATACACTGACTATTGTACGCAAACATGCACACAAGTACTAAATACACAACTTGGTATATAATGTGGTCCAAGAGCCTTGAAAGCAGCTCGACAGATCCAATAGCACCCTATCCTATAACCACAGCCAACCAGCACCACCTTGCACTAAAGCTTGGAGTGCCCCGTTTTGCTTTTTGAAAATATAAAGTAATAGGAGGGTCGTTTTTCTGGGTGACCTTGAACACCGGGGGTTTTGTCAGGGGTGGGAGAACACCAAGGGGGTCAGCATGGGAGCCGGCTTCACCTTCTGCTTCATCTCACTTCGAGACAACGTTCGGGTAGCTTGGATTAGAAACCCCAGCTCTGTTCACCGCTGGCGGAGCTAAAGGCTCTTCAAACGCACTGCGAGTGCCATCTGCAGGCTGGAACCCGCACTGGTGGGCGGCCCCACGCCAAACCCGCGGGTAAACCTGCCTGGTTCCCGAAATCTGAACCTCATCTCTGATGGACAGACTCACAAATGCAGAAAGACGACAGAAACGCTTGCCTCTGATCATTAAAAGCACGAAGCCGCTCAGTTGTGAGGCAGTAGAGAGCGAGGGATTAACAGAGCAGTTTCTCCAGTGTCCTTTCTAATCCTGCACCAGCACAAATGCAGTGATGCTCTTTGTGAGCAGAGGAGGGTGCTGAGAAGGCCACCTTAACCCCCAGCTGCTGGGAATGCCAGAAGGGAGGAGAATGATCTGTGTCCCCTCTCTTCATACACACAGAACAATTGGAGAATAGATTGCAACACATGCAGCACAACCTGATAAGGCTCATGTGTTGAAAGATTTTTGGGAATGCAAACCAGTTAACAGATTCCCAACTGGTTTTCAGGATAATAGCTCCGAATAAAGAAAAGTTAGAAAGTCCAAAATTAAATTATATGTTCATTTAAAATAATAACTGGCTGAACTATGGTTACCTGCTTCGGCTGCTTCAGGCAAGCAAAGAGGCTGTCACTGCAGGAACACTGCAACGACATCTAGAGAGTGGTATTTCTTTGGTGGTACCGTGACACCCCCTCATTGATAATGCCTGACTACGAGATGTCACTGTGCAGCAGGCACAGTGCCCAAGGTTGGCATTTGCAGGGTGGCAGCCTGAGCAGCCTGAGCACTGGCTGAGAAACTGTCACAGGTATCTACAAGGTAAAAACATCCCTCCCAGGAGCTCAGGATTTTTAATCCAAAATCAAACATTTGCCATCTGAGCGTTCCATGTAGAATAAATTCAGTCAGATAAATGGCCAGAGCATTGTCTAAACAGCAGTTCTGAGAGAAAGGGACCCAAATTTTTATTCCTATTGCCCACAATGCAGCACTCTGAAATCACTGACATTTTCTGAGCACAGCTGTAGGCAGGAATGTGATCTAGCTGGGCCAGGCCTGATTGGATCATTACATTCAGATTTATAAAGCTGTGGAGTTCCTAATCAGACATAGAGAGAGCACACTCCACCTCTCAATCTAGTGCTTTGGCAGGTCAGTCAATCAGAGCCTTTCTCAGCAAATCAATTCCAGACACACTTCTCTTCTTTACCTGCAGTTAAGCAGCATTCAAAAACATGGATGTTTTGCACTCTGTTGAAAATACCAAGAAAACTAATGAAAATTGCTTCTAGCCTGACCTTTGAAAATGCTTTCCTGAAAGAGTAGGAGATAAGAACAAATATATCAGAGCCAAAGGACAGTAGATTTTGGAAAATAAATTTATACTGTATGGTAGGGTGCTTTTTTTCAGAGAACTGCCAATAGCAAAAGCTATTCTGTCAGCCTCACCAGGGATGTCAGTACTACACTTTTTCTTATCTTTTTTAAGATAAACAAACACAACTCTTCATTGCCAATGCCAGCAACTAACACCCTGACTATGGGAATGGCAAACTCATCAGTTTGTTTCAGGATCTTAGCACATGTGCTTTATTGGGAATAAGCAATGCCAGTTATCCACCCTAGTTGTGGCAAAGAGATTCACTATCGTGAGGAAAAATTACTATTAATATTAAATTAGAATTAATTGCCAACCAACCCAAAAGAGTTAAGCATCAAGAAGGGACTTAGGAAGAAAAAAAAACCAGTCATAATCAGAGTGGGGAGGAGATTTATTCCCCAACAACAAAATTGACTTCACTAGAAGCTTCTGCAGAGCTCCAGGTGTGATAAATTTATGGCCTCCCCTCTTACCCTTGCTATTACTCTTTTTCAGGAGAGAGTATTATATTCTCAAGTCCTTGACCTCGGATAAAGCCTCAAATTCCTCTTACTTCCCCTCAGTGCATGTCCCCATGTCCATTTGCCAGCACCACATTCCAGTGTCATGCTGCAGACAGGCATCATAAATTAGCAAGGGTATTCTGGTGTGAATACACCAGAGGAAACTACTGTCAAAGCCGGGGGGAAACTAACCAGGTTTGACTGGTGTCTGTTATTTTTTAAGTACAAGGCACCCTAAACATTATACTTGGAGTGCAGGACTGATTGTGACTGTTCACAGTTGTCCAGGAAGAGCAATGAGAGTCTGACTGATGATCTTACACAAGATGTAAAAGAGCTAGATCAGAGGAACCTAAGAGATTCTACAGCCATGCAAACTATACTTTTCCCTCTCCAGTCTCTTTCCAAAGTCCCACTTTCATTTGAACATGAGGTCATCCAGTGAACTAGATTTATACACCCTTTGGTCTATGAAGTGAATGGAAACGTGTCTAAAGTTATTCACAGGCAAACATGCTGAAACAGTATTATAAAAGAAGGACTAACAGACGGGTTAGAAAAGTCATAAATGAAGTAAGTTAATTTTGACATCCCCTGCTTCTTCCCTAGCTGCTTTCCACTTTATCCTCACGGACCTCAGTTTCCATTGTAGGAGTTACAAAGCATTTTTCTCTCACTATCACTCATAACCATCCTCCTCTATGTCCCAACACCTTGCTTTACTGTCCTGTAAACTTCTTGCAATTTCCCACAGGCTTTGAGACTTTCCATAGACACAATGTGGTGATTTTCTGATTTTAAGTCCTGCTGCTACCACGCTCTGCAGCGTGTGTGCTCATTTTCAGACCTGGGAGACAGGATCCTGGTCAGCTGCAAATGTTTGAAAAGTGTGATCCAAAACAAGAACATTTTTTTCTCAATATACGTGAAAAGTAACAAAAATCAAACCAGAAAGCAGAAGTGTCTGGTTCAGAATCTTACCTGGGCTACCTCTTCAAAATCATCATGTCTTTTCTGCAGCGCACGTGCTCTGTGTAGAGACTTCCCCACTCCAGTATGTTTACTCAGAAAGGCTTCCCCATGATTTTCAATCCAGTCCAGTACCTGCCAGAAAAGAAGAACATCCCATTACCTCTCCTGTCTCAGCTGCACAGAGGAATTCTCAGGGATAAACAGAGGTATTGCTTTATGCTTGCTATGGCAAAACACACGCAGATCTGTCAAAGTCCATTCCAAATGGATAGAAGATAAATGTTTATAGATCTTACTAGTAAATTAGGATTATTGGATTTCTACTATTCAATTTATTTTGAAGTGTAGCTTAGTTATTTGAGCCTGGCAGATATTAATATTTACTTTCACATAAATGAATTTTGTGGAATAGGCATCAGAAATTTGGAATCTTTTAGAAGAACCCTCCTCTTAAGAGTTCATTGTGTAAACTGAAAAACAGTGATAGCTGATTTCATATAAACAGCAGATTTCAATGGGATGCGTCTTAAATGAGTCCAAAAGCATGATGAAGAAATAGATTAAAATTAATTTTGATGTGGGGAGAAAGGATTATCAGAGTAACTAGAAGGAAAAGGTTAAAAATCCTTTGCTGCAGTTCATAAAACATCGACAGCATGTACCCTCAGATTTTCAGTTCCAAATAGAACTGATCCTTATGCAAAAGTAAAGTGGCAAATATGATATTCTGAGAGTTAAAAAGCAGTTTCTTTTAAAAATAGACCAACTATATAGGTACCATCCATTTGGAGCTCCATCTCACACTGGCATTAAATTTAGATCAAAACTATAACAAGCTGGAAAAAAACAAAATTAAACTTGATGGTATGAGCTCGAGATATTGCAGGATGTGATCTCCATCCTTTCTACATCCCTTTCCCAACACACAGAGGTAGGAGAATAAACAGTAGAAGATCAGCACCAGCATTTGTGTAAGTAGCTAAGACTTCATTCAGCAAAGAGCCTGATCCTCACTGCTCCTGGTGCCAGTGGACTGTTAACCAGCAGCTGGTATTTCTGTCACAATGAAGGGAGAAGACACTGCAAGTGTCCCCAGGACAGTGATACCACCACAGAGTACTGCACCTGCAAATGGCCTCAGAGCTGCAGCACTGGGGTTTCAGCAGCAAGCATGGCCACAGTGACACTGGGCAGGGGCTGCAGGACACCTTGCAACTCGTGGCAGCTTGGCCTGAGAAGGGCTCTGGTAGCAGGGCACAGAATCAGGGCAGGAGAGAGCTGCTGTGTGAAGAGCCACTTGTCTTGTGTGGGGTCAATACATGAGCAGATATTATTGACTAAGCCTAGAAACCTAAGACTGGAAAAATGGAAGAGGTGATTTTTTATATCTATTTTTTTAAATATTATTATTATTTCAGACAAGTAAAGCTATTTAATGGCTTGGTTGTACAGAATATAAACCACCTGGTCTTTGAGTCTTTTCTATACTGTAGATCCTAGGCATATTTTTATATGAATTTATGAGTACAAATAAAGCTTTATACACATCTACTTACTTAGCAACCCTATTTCTTTGCTGGAAAACAAAGTATTTTTAAAATTATAATTCTGTGCTTGCAAGGTATTTTTCACCCAAAGCATACAAATAACTTCACAAAATGGGGTATCAAAGCAATTTATGTCCTGCAGGGACAAGAAATATTTGGCGAGTCACTCTGTGGATGAGAAAGCAGGACCAGGTGTGTTGGCAGTTCGAGCATCACCTCCTGCTTCCCTTTCTCTGATCATTTTGTCTCCCGTTTGCTCAGGGTAGAGAATCCCAAACACATGCCTCCAAACTGCTTGACAGCCATGGACCAGGTGGTCTGCTAGGAGCTTGTCTGCAATATACCCTCAACAAGGAAACTGCATATAACTGGTAATAACATTACTTACTGGAAGCTATCCTTGTAGCATTTGTATCATTTACAGTCTGGAAATAATTCCACTAATATCCTCTTTCCTCTTGTCAGGAGTTTTCAACTTATCTATTAAAAATGGAACCAGATCACAACTCACTTTAGAAAAAATCTCATCTAATGAGGCCTCATTTTAAAAATATTTTTTAAATGGCAAATGGGTTTAATTCAAACAATGTTTCATATGGAGTTAGTCTGCAGTATGTGCTTTCTGTTTCTTCATATTTGATAAACACTCTTAACTCTGAAGCAAATTACTGTAGTAACGTTCTCAAGTTTCTATCGTTAAAATAATAATTGGGTAATAATAAAACTTTATACAAACCACTGTTATATTTGGTTGCTTTAGTCACTGTTAGATGTGTGATGACAGAGATAGCCACTTTTATCACATAAATGGATTTGTTGTCACATGCTTCAACTCAAAACAAGAAATAAAATATATGATGCCCACTTCAAATAAAGATGAAAACAAAGGTGATTAATCTATGCCAGATTACTGGTCAAAATATGGATACTTTACTCTTAACAAAAAAAACCAACCAACCAAAGTGCTAGAATATTATTCTATAGGGAATAATACTTTTTTCCAGGAGATGGCAACTCCTGCTGTAAAGTCTTGTGTTAAATTTGGGCAGTTATTCCATGCTGCCTGACACAGAAGTGCAGCATCTGTTGATTCACCAAAACATTCCTGTACCATGAAAGCTTCCCTTTGAAGTCATCAATGCACATATTGATTAGGCTTCTAAACCCTTTAGTTTGTAAGATTAGATATAAAACATCTCTTGAGGTGACAAAATTGTACATCCACTTAATAAACCAACACTACGTGAGCAGGTAAGATAAAAACTAAAAATCTATAAACCATGAACTCACGACACTGGCTGTAACACCCTATTTAACCACTTTTTTCTTATTCCATTTCCCTGCTTAGAGTGTCATGTCTTAGATTTCATAGAATGTCTCTGTTCTTTAAAAACTTCTGGTTCAAATTGTCCCATAGACTCTACTTCTGCCATGATTCCAACTAGAAACAAATCACAACTTTTTAAAGAATAACTCAGTTAACAGCAATTTTTTGTGGCTCTGAAACCCATGTTAACATATTCGACCACTCCAGTCGTCTGTGTATTTAGTTTCACAACCATTCTCTGAAATGCTATAATTGTAATAAATGCTATAATTTCATTTTCCATAGAAGGGAGGGGGGGGGATGTGTGTGTTAATAAATTACACTAAGTGAATTGCTGAGGTGTCTCAGGAAGCTGGTAGAACACGGGATGTTATCATGAGGGTCTGATAATCTGATAGCCCTAACTATCAAAAGAATCCCTGGCATTTATATGAACAGCTAATTTCCTTCTATAAAGCATTTGCAATTGAATAAGCTCACAAGAATTGGCAAACAGAGAGAAATATCACATATTTTTTTCTATCATGCAAAGCACAGAAAGTTTGCATTAAATGAAGAGCTGACTATGGCAGGTACAACTCTAAAAGGTCACAATTAAACCTGAAATCCCCAGCACTAGTAAACATCTACCTGTCAGCATGTTTGGAGACCTCATCCCTTGCCCTGAAGAAAGAAAATGTCTTTAGAAATAGCATAACTGTGTAATAATTCAAGATAAATAACATTTTAATCAAGAGCATGGACTGTATAACTTACTCAACTGCTGAGACTTAACATCCTGAGATCTAGTTAGCCATTGAAGTTATATGACTTAGTTCAAATCATTTAATTACTCCTTAAAAATTTAAACAGCTTGAAGTTGCTGTTAAAAATGCAGTTACGAGTGCTTTCCAAACTACATGTTCAATTTTCCTAATTGTCCTTTATTGCCAAGATATTTTTTCTTTAAACAGCTAGAAAAAGGCTGTAATGAATTCTGTGGAGAGAAAAAAAACTGTGCTACATATTGATCCATCATCTAAGGTGTTTTAAGTAAATATGTTTTCTATCTCCATTATACGCCAACTGCCTTTCTACTATAGGTTTATTACTGCACTTCCACTAGTTTGAAAGCTGCTTGGGACAGGGGCCAGGATCTCCCCCCTGCTTTGAAGCTCAGTAAATCTTGATCCTGCCTGACTGCAGTTTAAATACAGGCCAACCCCTGTGTGGACACACTTCACACATGGGACAGATTTTTCCAGTCCAGGCCGCTGTCCATTAGACAATACCATGTTAATAGAAACATGGCTGAGTTCACACTTCAAGGCACATCTCCATGCATGGGTAAAGCTACCATGGAATTGCCTAGGAAACTTTGTAACTCACAGACATTTTCTGAAAGGATTGGAGGATAATAAAGTCTTGCTATTTTACCTTCAGATGTGGCAAATTCCCTTCCCACACCTTACTGACCTATTTGCTATCGGTGAGTTGATCAGGTTACCGGCTTCTGCTGTTCCTTTGCCCAGTTCCATAAGATGTCCATGGGAGGAAATAAATAAGCTACTCCATTTACTTTGATGGTAGCTTGCATGGGATTCCAAAAAGTGTGCATGTGAGGCTAGGAGCTGAGAAGGAGGCTCCCTTTCTTTTCTGGATGGAGAGTCATAATTCTGCATTTAATTCATGGCTACTAAAAGTTTATACAGCATCAGACTCAAAAGCATGAAATGTTTGCTAGGAGCCTGTTAACTGAGAGTACAAACCAAATGGTCAAGAAACACATCTGATGTCAGCAATATTTATTGGCAGGAATCCTGCAGGATACAAATATATTAAGATATTAATTTTATATATATATATTTTTTAAATTTCATCTGCTTTAAGATAAAAAGTAGTAGGAGCATTATTCTTCTTTCTATCTTGATGTGTATGCCCTGTCTCCTTATCTCCTCAGGGGCACAATTACACAACCAACAAAATAAGCAGCAAACCCAGGTCACCAAGCAAATGAAATAAAACTCCAGTACAATTACAGCAGGCTGACTGTGCTATCTAATATAGTCATTATATAGCTGGATAACAACGAGATTCAAAACGCTACCTGGAGGAAGAATAGCTCTAACTGTCCCTTTTGAACGATCCGTGTAACTTCAAAAATAACAACAGTGGCAATTCTGGCAGGTTTCAACTGAGCACAGCATCAGGAAGTAGGTGCTTAGAAGAGAAAACCTTCTCAATGCCTCTCCACACTCCTTTTTGCTGATGATCAAACT